GGATTTTTTTTTAATGGTTGAGATTAGGATCAAGAATTTGAATGATTAATTTGCCACTAAAAGACCTACATATGACTGTTGGTCTGTAATTAGAGCCCTGCAAACCTGTGGGTATCTTCATCCGTGGGTGTGAATACTTTCAGCTCACTGTAGTAGATGCAAATACAAATTTTGTATCTAGAACCCTGCAAATTTGTGTATATCTGCTTTATATCTGTTATCCGTATCTGCAGTTCATTTTTAGGGATGCAGATGCAAACTTTTGTATCTGTGCAGGCTCTACCTGAATGTCTGCTGACCTGTTTTTTTCTTCCTATTACAGCTGCCACTGCCTTTTCCATTTACATGTGGCTTTCCAGATCTTTAGGGAGTTTTTGTTTGTTTTTGTTTGACTGGCTGACTCAACAACACTGAGAATGGAAAGGCAAGGCAAAGTCATTTCAGATCATAACAACTCTGAAATGTTACCATTGAACCTCTTTGTACCAAATTGTTTTTAAGACTGTTTTCCTGGAGGCTGCCTAGCTCAGGGTATAGGTAATGTGCAGTCTCTCATTTTGTAGTTGCTAGTTCAGATCAAGATAAGATTGGCAGAGATCTAACCTAATGTTACTATTTGATGGCTGTCTAACTTAAATGGTGGATCGTCTCAGTCCAGTTTGGTATGAATTAGCATCCTTTTTGAGAGTCTCACAAGGGAGGTAATTAAGTGGAAATTAAACTTCACTAAGTTGTAGAGGTGGTCCCTCCAGGTTAATGTTCTAGCATAGTGGTTCCCAAATTTATAATCTAGCATAAAAGTGTGCTGCTGCCTGTTACCTATGTTCTGCATTTTCAGTGCATCTATCACTGTAAACTTTGTACTTGTTTCTTTGGCTTGAAGGACTTTGGTTTTTTGGTCTCAGGAACAAAAATTCATTGTAATACAGTATAAATTGTTTACTGTTCTTAAGTCATTGTCTCTGCATAAAATACATTTTGTTGTCCATAACATCTGACGTAACATAATTCCTAATATTTAAGTATAGCAGGTTATTTCCATGGAATAGGTGACTTGACTTCTCTACAGTAATTTGCCTAGTAGACTAAAAATGGCTTGTTCTTGTTGGAGTAGAAGATGAGAGTTGAGAGTGGTAAAAATATCCAGAGGCCTTACTCATCTGTAAGGAAGTTTTAATATGAACTACAGGCAGTCCCCGGGTTACATGGACCCGACTTACATCAGATCCCTACTTACAAATGGGGTGAGGCAACCCCGCACTAGCTGCTACCCCCCAGCAGACCAGGGAGACGCGAAGCTAGCGCCCCCCCCGGCAGACCAGGGAGACGGGGAGCGGCTTTTCTCAGCAGACACCTCAGCTTGAGAATAAAGGACTGAGGGAAGTGAGGTGTGGGAGAATAAAACTGAGCTCTGGAGAAATGTTTGGCTAGAGTTTCCCCTACAATATGTACCAGTTCCGACTTACATACAAATTCAACTTAAGAACAAACCTACAGTCCCTATCTTGTACGTAACCCGGGGACTGCCTGTACTCTAGAGTTTTTCTTTCAGTGTATTAAATTTTTCCTTCTAATGTTCTAGGCATGTATGCTTTTTAAAATACAAAATTTTCTAATTAGATCAACATCAATGTGAAGTCCTTCCCAGTACACCTTAGGGAAATTCTTGGGAAACTATCCTTTTCAATAAATTAAGATTTTTGGTTCTAAATCTAGGATTCTGCTGAAAATGCCTGGACAATAGTATACTTCCTTCGAATAAGAGGATAGTTAACTATTGCAGTTGATACTAACTTTTGTGGTATCCTATGAGAAATAAAATGGTTTTAAAAATAGCCAGAGCCCAAAACATTTATGACTTTGGGGCAAAACCAACAGCTTAAACTGGAAGCAAATATAAGTTAGTGGGGCACAGGAATTATGTGCTTAATCCAAGAAATGTTGGTCAGCAGTCTGCATTCTACACAGTTGATTGTTTGAGGCTGGTCTACAGGTGCATTTCAATAATTCAGTGCGGAAGCATGAAAGATATGGATAGCTGTGCTGACATATATTCTTAAAAATAAATACAGATAAATGGAGAAGTACCATCAAGTTGAGTTTAAGATCTCACCTCACATGGCTAATTACTGCTGGGAAAGTTACTGTTGACTCAGTACACGTTATCTTACTACTATAATTCTGTGGAGGAGGGACAGGAATACAGTGGTAGTTACATAATTCTGTTCACTCTTCTCTGTGCTCATATTCTGTACTTTGTTTCAGAGGGGTAGCCAGGTTGGTATGTAACTGAAAAAACTTAAGAAACAGCGACAACCCATGAAAGCTCATGATACTATTCACATTTTTTGTTAAGTCTCTAAGGTGCTGCAGGACTATTTGCTGGGTTTTTTTTCTGTACTTTGTGGCATCCCTGCAACAGGGAAGAGGAAGTTGTTGGGAGTGCAGTGTTATGGAGGTAGGACATGATTAATTGATGCATGAGGTAAAGTAGACTCTCACACATTCATGTTAGCCATACTGACTCTTCAGTGCTTGCCAGTGTAAGAATGTAGCAAATTTATTTTAATCAGAATCCACAGGAAGATTTGTAAAATGTATAATATTCAGAATTGCACTTGACTAACAAGAAGAAACTATGTTAAATAATCATAAACTCTTGTCTAACTTCTTACCTGGAGAATCTGATCTCTTCCTTAAGAATTCATGAGAGATTTCACATCTCTTCTTCCCCATTAAAATATATCAAATTGAGTGGCTTCACATTTTCATTTTTGCATTATTTTCTAATAAGGAATATAGTAATACCATTGAATCTCAATGTCATTTAAATACATGTTTAACATTTCTGATAGAATAAAATGTTCACAACTATGTAATTAATCAGATGACATCAAAGAAAAAAATTGAGAAAATAATGTTCCTGTTCTCAAGGATCTCTCTTGAGTTTTAGATTAGCAAGTAGATATCCTCGTTCCCAAATTCTGTCAGTTATCCACTATGTGATAACCAAACTAAGAAAGAAGAATGTTACTTGCTGAAAATCGAGTGGGTAAAATACAAATTGTGGCCATATTAGGCTCATCTGTTGTTTTATTTAGTCTGTGCTAATAATGGCCAATCATGACTGGAGTGAGAATTTTGAGTGTTTATAGTTGTACATATAAATTATATATGTAAAAGTATGCTTTTATTTTTAACCATGTTGTTTGAGCAGAATGGTGAAAGCTTTTTCTTTACTATAAATTTTGAGAGAGTTTGTATGTTTGTTCAAGAACTTCTCTTAAACAGTAAGAGCAAGAACTACTACATTCAGTATATAGATTCCTCTTAACATAACATAAAGCTGCCTAAGGGTTTGGTTGTGCCAGGACACTGGAATGGGATTACTTCTCATAAAACCATATAGAAAAGAGATAATCACCAGGCAGGTGAAAGGGACTAGCTGGGGCCCCTTTCTCCAAACCTTCCACCCACAAGTGTCCTTTAAGGAGGATGGCAGAGGGGGGTGGAGGCTGAAGCTCTCCTCCAGATTCATAGGGAGATATCACTGGCTCTTTCTCTTTCTCAGGGAGCAAGGGAAAAATGCATAATTTGCTGCATTCGTCCCTCTGACTGAAGCACAGGGACAGATGAGCTTTGCACTTTGCTCTCTCTCCCTGACAGGGACAGAAAGGAGAAGAGGAAGCAGCCCAACGAATCTTGGGGAAAAGGGAACTTGTCCCCTCCCCAGAGCCCTTCATCATGCCCCTGTTCTTCCCCCCCTCCCCCCTCCCGGTCCTGAGCGTCTGCTTAAGGACCTGCCCTGAGCAATACTGGGTGAATGTGCTAGCATAATATGATTTGTATGCAGGAGGGATGTTAAGAGGAGGGTATTTAATTAATCAAGTAGTCAATAGAATTTTTATCGACTACTCGATTAGTCGATAGGCAGCCCAGCTCAGTCCTGGCTCTCACCAGGTGTGGGACCAAACCTTACTGCATCTCTGCAATTTAAAAGGGAATAGGAGCCAGGGGCCAGGCTGCTTGCTTCCTGCTGCCTTCTTTAAATTGCAGCGCCGAAGTGGGGTTGGTCCTGCACCAGGTGCGAGCCGGGACTGAGCTGGGCTGCCTGCCCGCCTGGCAGCATCCCCTGTCCACTGCAGATCCCTCTCCCCCCCCCCCCCCCC